CCTCTGGGGCAGTTCTGCTGTGTCCTACAGGGCTGTTATGAGTCAGAATGAACTCCGTGGCAATGAGTAGGAATGGAATATATTTCAGAAGCTGCATATCAGTAGGCTAGAGAGCAAGAAGGAAGGTAGAATGCAAAGGATAAAGATTTTTTGTATTTTTTTAAAAAAAGGAATGGTTAACAAATGAAAGGGAAAAGAAAATATGGCAAACAAAATGAAACCTGAGGATGATGACTATATTTTAAAATCAGTGCATTTGCTTTATTGTTATTAAGTGCTACTGAGCTGGTTTCAACTCAAGGCAACCTGGTGTAGGGCTTCTGAGGAGCAGCTGGTGGGTTACACTCCAGAAAACATCATATCATCCTTTTGAATTATTCCTTTCACATTTAACTTTTGAAAAACATTTTATTGTGGTTTGAATGAAAATTTACAGAGCAAATTAGTATCCCAATCAACAATTCATATACATCTTGTTTAGTGACACTGGCTACAATGCAATTACCTCAGTGCAACAGCACTCTTCCTACGTTCTCCCTGGTTTGCTCATTTCCATTTGTCCTGTCCTGTCTGCTGGACTTTGGTTTTCAACATGATGATGTTGCCGTTGTTGTTAAGTGCCATCGAGGTGGTTCCGACCCATAGCAACCCTCTATAGGGATTCTGAGGAGTGGCGGGTGAGTATGAAGCTCACAAACTGACTTTGCAGTCCAGCATTATTAACCCACAGCTCCGCACCAGGAGTTCCAACATCATACTATACATATGAAAAACAAGGCACTAATTTTTCTCTCTCTTTCTGTGTAACTCAAATTTGCATATCTTGGAATATTTTTTTTATTTTGTAGCTTACCAGAAAATTCTTCCTGAATCTCATGGCTTAGGCCTGGGAAAGAAAAATATATTTAATCAAAATTTAACTTCAATTCATACAGTATATGAATAGCATATAAAATCATTTACAGTGTTCTATTGTGCACCATTCTACTATTTTTTTTTCTGATTCTTTCCTTTAAAACAAAATTTTTATTGTGAATTGAATGACGGTTTACAGACAAGATCATCAGTTTTACATTAAAAAATCATACACTCTTGTTTCATCTCAGTGAGTAATCCCCTCCATGTAACAACACTCCACTTCCTCCCTGTGGTTACTCATGTATAAATATCCTCTTTAAAACTCATATTTGTGGGATATATTATTGTTGTTGTTGTTAAGTACCATCAAGGCAGTTCCAATTCATAGTGACCCTGTTTAAATTGTTGACATTGTGGTTTGCAGTCCAGCGCTGATCTTACAAACCCACACCAGGACTCCATGGGATATATGTATATATCCCACTTTTCCTTCCATACCCATTCAGCCTGTGTTACTGTCCTTGTATCTATACACAGAACACTGATGTTCCAAGGTTGTACTCTGCACCATTTTAAATCCTTTGAGACAAATAAAATATCATCTGAGAGACCAAAAGTAAGAAATTGTACATAACCAAATTGGAAACTCAAACTTTAAAAAAATACATTGCTTTTTTTCTATTTCTCTCCCTATTAACTGAAGAATAAATACTTAGTTTCCACAAGTGGGTATCCACATTAGCCCAAGCACAGTTTCAGTTTATCACTCCTGAATATCTAAAAGGATGTGGGCCAGGGGAAGGCAGCACCTGAGATGCATGCTCCACCGTGTGCGCATGTATATAGATAAGCACAGGTCAGGTCAGGATCTAGCTTCATACTTTCTTTCTTGTTGTTTTCTAGAACTGAATAGTCATTCAGCTATTCAAAATAATAGCCACATACACATAGATACTCAAACAGACTGTTCTGAATTGACAAATGAATACTCAGTTCAAGATAATAACAAGAAAGAAAGCATTAAGCTAGATCCAGAGCTGACCTGTGCTCGTATATACACATGTACACATAGTGTGCCTGGACTCCTGGTGCGGTGCTATAAAATCAGCACTGGACTGCGAAACACAAGGTCAGCAGTTCAAACCCACTAGCTGCTCCTCAGAAACCCTACACAATGTCACCAAGAGTCAGAACCTACTTGACGGCACTAACAACATGTGTGCCAGCTACATTCTAGGTGTTATGGATAGAGTCAACAAAAGAGACAAATATTCCTGTTCTTAGGGACTGACTTGAAGGCACTTAACGACAACAAGAAATATTTTTACTACTATCTACTCTAAATTTCTTGGATTAATATGGTTAACAGGAGCTTAACAACTTTATGTTATTTAGTCCCTCAGGTCTAACATTAGCAAAAACGAGTTTTATATACCCATTTCTGACTTAATTTTATTTTTAATCTATGTGCTAGATGTACTGTTAGCTACACAGTGAACATTATTAGCCATAAAGTATTTAAATCCTAATATATATTGGCAGAGAGTTTTCACTTCTGTGAAATCATGACAGTGCTAATAACTAATGTGTACTTTTCTGGTCACATGAGTATTTGCTTAGAACTCCTATGAGGAAAAACCCATTAGATCTCATGCAAACAAAATGTAATAGAAAAACAACAATCAATATTGTACTTTCTATTTTAGAAGCAAAATTAAAGGTTTGAGATGGATTAATTTAATGAATAGGGGCTGATTTAACAAAAGGTGATAGAAAAAACCTTTAACAATTTATACTGAATACCGAACTTACGGCACTTCATTAATGTACCCAAGTGGTGAGCAGAATTTAAAGTTAGCTGACTTTCTGTCTGTGCTTTACAAAATTAAATGAAATTTTCTTTAAGTAAAAAAAAAATACTAAAATTACCTATACCAAGATTATTTTTCTTTTGTTGTAGTTTGTTTCATTTGTATCTTCTGACCAGAATAACATCGTTTTTGTAAAAGGACATGATTCATTTTATAGAGAGAAGAGGGTGATATACTATATCAAGGTCATTACAGTTGAGAATCTGATACTTTAGATTCCAGATTCTAGTCCTGATTTACTTCTTTTGATAGAGCTCTAACCTCACTATGGCTCAGTCTCTGACTTCTGGTGACAGAAAGAACGGATCAGTGGGTCACCTTGTGATGAGTGCTTGCTGTATGTGATACACTGTCCCAATGGAAAGTTGTTTACAAGTGTCAAGAAGAAGAGACTCACTATAACTGGGTCAATTAATATTTTATGTTAGTACAGATTTTGGTTTTATTAACATAATAATATTTAAAATGTAGAAACAGGAAATCATGCTAACATTTGTAAGCACTTTCATCAGTGTAAATAAAAAAGAGTAAAAAAAATAGATCAAGATAACAGACCAAAAAGATATTACCATATAAAAAGTTACAGTTATAAAGACTATAGGCAAGTTTATTGTCATACTTAAAGGACAATGGAGTTGTCTCCATAAATAAAAAATAAGGTACTCACCAAGATGTATGAGATACGAATAATCCTTGATAACTGTTTCTGCTCTAAAGGAATCATGCTGATGGTCAACTATTACTGACTCTAAATTGATATCCTTAAACAGAATGAAAAAAAAAATCAAACAGTAAAACATTTTTCTTAAACTTCTACAAGTAGGCATAATGTTATCAGGTGTCTTTGAGTCAGTTCCAATTTATAGCAACCCTATGGATTCCTGCTGTTGTTAG